GATTTATCCAACTTTGTTTTGATTTATCCAACTTTGTTTTTTGATTTATCCAACTTTGTTTTGATTTATCCAACTTTGTTTTGATTTCCGCCACTCACCACGTCCTATGCTAGCATYACTCCTGCTCAGCAAAGTCCATTAATATAATATATGTGCACTTTCGCTCTGCGCTGTTAATATGTAGTTTTAATCTTTCTGTATTCAGATTTTCTCCAAGATCTGCACTAGTGCATTGTCAAGTGACATCCCACTATAAATGGATTTCTCGTTTTATCTTCTSTYATTTTAAAAAGTGTTTTGTSTTTTATCTTCAAGGTCCTAATCAGTGTTTTAGCCGTTGTGATTGTGACRTACTGCAAAGTTGCCATCAGTGCGTTGATGAGGGACCAGGGACGCAAACAACTCCTYTGGTTTGGTATAAGTACTCAAATTGGCTCRTGTGTTGGAGCCCTTTCTATTTTTGCYCCAGTTAATGTTTATCACATGTTTAAACAGGAGTAGGACTGAATGCCTTCAGTCTGATTCGTTACCCTTTCTTTTGTTGGGCTTCCTGTTTAAATAAAACACAGGAATACCAAACAAAATTGAAAAAATTGAAGTTTAATTTTTAATTTTGATTTATTTGACTTGATTTTTTTCCAGTTTAGATGGCACAAATTCCTTGCATTGTTTACAACAGGTTTTGAAGGACAGAATCCCTCATTTTAGAAGTTAAATAGTTGTGCYATTAGGTTAAAATTAATTGTCCAGACCAAACATAAATCACAGGGTATCGCACTGAATGTTAAAACTACATAAGCAAGAGGGAGCTTTATCAAAATACAATAAGAAATGGTTAGTTTGGGTTTCCTGTGCTACATCATTTTGAACATCTTGGAGAAAAATGATACACTGAGAAATGTCTGTGCATTCAAAGCCTGCATAGCGGCCCTCTTGCGTTCCCTGTTCTCAAAGAGGGTCACTACTCTGGCTCAGTATAAACATTTATGCTCATAACACTTGTATTGGTACATTCCCCAGTCGCTTGTCTTAATACTCGAAATGGAACTAAATTTTTTTTTTTAATTGGGAAAGCAGGATGCCTGTGTAGAAGGCTAAACCTATTATCAGTCTTACACATAAGAAGTRCTTCAATACTATTTCTTTGATCAAACAAAACACAAGAAAGTCAAAATTTCCGTTCAACTCATTTACGTTAGGTTCCCTGTTACTTTAATTGGGACGTTTAGGTCACGTGATCAGTTACTACAGAACGCTTGATATTGCGTGTAGATATTTATTATTAAAATCTGGCCATTAACACTTCATCAAATCAAATATATATTATTGTCTTTAAAAAAATAGTACTTTTAAAATACCAAATAATCAGGTAAATTTTAGATAACGACTGAAATATATATTTCAATATATTTTTAAAGCTTTCAACAAAATTGTAGACCTCGTGCATGAAAACAAGCCTAGTTGTAATATAATAGATATAAATATAAATACTGTTTAAAATAACTGACAAACCACTTTTGGTGCAAATATATTAATATTCATATTTAAGCATAATATTTAAATTTTTATGACAAGACAGAGTGCACACAATGGGCTTCTACCCTTATGACGTCATGATATGGCGAAGTGCATCATGGTTGCTTGTACAARATGGCGGACAAAAAATTACAGAGGACGAAATTATGATGCAAAATAAGCGTTGTGCGTTGTCGAATATCATGAGAGAAGATGGCTCAGCACATTGCAGTGTACTCAAAGACCTGTATGAGCAATACAAATGTATGCTGTTTGCATAAAAGTGGTGGAAACTAGCGGTAAACTAGTGTGAGCTGCGTCGGTGTTTATAAAAATCCTTCGTCCGAGGATTAACATTCGGAAAGTCAGTAAGTTGTTTCACCTACTTTTKTACGGTGTTAAATTTATCTTCTTACACAACTGTTTGCAAAACCCTGACTTCGTCAATCCCATAATGCATMTCGCCAGAAATAGTTCGACGTCGTAAGGGAAGGTCCCATGTAGTTGATTATTTAGAATTGTTGTATATTTGTCATTTTGTGTCATAGTTTTAATGTTTTGCTGCTTTTAAAGTGTGACATCTATTGCGGAAGTATAGAGAAGCAATAGCATCTTTCACTATTTATTTGAAAAGTGCATACACTTAAATAATGAAATATTTAACTCATGTAGATTCCAGTGAATTGCAGTAAGTTGATTAAAACGTGAAATGAAATCTGATTGTTATTATAAGTGTGATAGTCAAATAGACACAGGGTGTTTTCCATTTAGGCAGAACTGGCCGGCCAGTCCACTCTATTTAGAGGTAAATAATGCTTTTTGTCAACATTTTTCAGTCATTTCGAGGTTTTCTGTAGAATAATGGATAGAATTTGAAAATTTGAATTTCCTAACTAAATGGGAATGATATATAATGACATTTTCTCTGGGTCTGGCCAGCCAGTTCTGACAAATGGAAAGCGCACCAAGTAAACAATTGGATTAGAGTGTTCTAAGGGGGAATTAGTCAAATACTCGTTATATTGCGCTGTTTTACAGTATTTGATTAGTTCTTTTTTACTCTTTTATTGTTTGCACTCCATTTCAGTAACTATATTTCTATAGGTGGGCGACAATGTTTACGTTATTGCTGATTTGCATAAAAGTCAGAAATCGAATTTCGAGCCACAAGAAAATCGAGCCCATAAATGAAAAGAGCTCATACCTTTTAGCAATCAAKAGATATCAAGCGCCGAATTTGCGAGATTTTCTAAAAAATGACCGTGGTTGGCATTATGTTGCCAACCACTAAATGTTTTCTATAGATTTTGTAGTTTTGAAATGCCGAAGTTTCGAAATATAAAAAGGCGTTTGCCCTAAAATTTTCAGTTTTAGTTAAGATTAATAGAGAGGTTTTGCATGACGTTCACGACAAACGGCAGAAAAGATCACGTGACCTGATTTTTTAGAGTTTAACGTTGCAGTTTCAACGCGAGAGTGGGTTATTTTGAGTTTGCCATAATCGTGAAAAGCCGCTCTTTCCAATGACWACCAAAAGCGTAAGATCGGGCACAAAATTCTTAAGTCATTGGTTCAGCTCTGCCGTTAGCCGTTTGCCGTTAACGTGATGCTAAACTCTCTAATGTAATCTTGAATTTTGTGTTTTGGATATAAACAAACTACGTCATTGTATGCCCACCTATATTCAGTGGTAAATAACAAATTATTACGTAATGGGAATAGCTCAGTTTCTTTGTTGATGGCGCACAATTGTTTAGTGGTTGTACTCGAGGGAAAACGTATGGTAAACATGTATTTTAAGTTAAATGCAATGAATATGGAGAATTGTRATTTAAGTAAACATTTTGCGTGATTATTACCAAGATGTCTTTATCGTGTTACGTGAAAAGAAGTCCACCAAACCTTGGAAAACACACTGAGTAGCCGACCAGGTCTGTTCTTCCAAAGAACTGTTCTTATACGATTTTTCTCCATGGAAAGTGATTTAGAACTAGAATTTAAATTGAAAAAAAAACCTCTTGATCTTATGGCTGTTAAAGCACTTGAGTATTTAAAACGTCCGTGAAGAGTTTCGTTGGAAAAATTCCTAGAGGAGCGCCTATTCCTCAGTCTCCGTGATTATTGAAAAATTTTCCTAAAATTATAACTTTGCTGGCAACCAGTTGTGACTTACAGCTGGCTGGAACAATAAGAACAGATATATTTCTCCCAGGAACCCACCGGCTCCTCTTGAAAACATCGAGGGCTTTAATTGGCAGTGTGGTTTTTATTGTTTAAGGGATGTGTTGAATTCTGATGAAACATATCTCAATGGTCCCCTATATGTGATGTAGGGTCYTCTTGAAGGGTGGTAAGCTGCCATATATACAAGTACTGTGCAAGCAGCGAGGAGCAAAGAAGGGATTAGTGTATTTTTGGGAATACCTCTATGAATGATGGGGCAAATAAGTGCTATCTTTCAAGAAAAACCAAGACTTGCACTAGTAACTCTGTACTGTACTGCACCAACAGTCTGGGGTTGGTTTTACGAAAGGTCAATTATAGCTCTATCCACTAGTCCTTATCCACCAGATAAAATCTATTGATACAAACGTTAAATGGAGTTGATAAACCTATCAGATGGATACCCAAACTCCTACAACTGAAGGAGATATACATGGCATTCTTAACATTAAGGACAGCAACGGGTGATAGACACTGTAGGTAAGACAAACAACACGAAAGTGTTCTAAGATCAAACGGCTGCTCATGGATTACATTAGGTGCATTGTTGTAATAGTCTCCTTCACGGTTACCTGCGCCATCTTGAAAGGTAGCCGTGCCTTTGCATCGAAGCGAGACAACCGTTGAGCACAGAGCGTTAAGCATGCAATGATAGAAACCTTCTTTCACACCTACAGACAATTATTTACAGGTTTCTATCATTGCACGCTCAACGGTCGTCTCGCTTCGATGTAAAGGCACGGCTACTTTTCAAGATGGCGCAGGTAACCGTGAAAGAGACTATTGTACTAGAAGGCAAGATTTGCAAGGATGTATGATGCTGTTGGGAGCAACAATAAAAGATGCTTTACTTATTCATCCTAGACGGCACAATTTTAACCCACCTTCAAATTATAGGTTCAAGTTGTAGGATCTTAAATGTTGACAGAAATATTCAGGAAAATAAAAGAACATCAAACACAAAAATGTTTATGAAGATCAAGGGAGAAGCCCTCGTCTGAAACTGAATTTTTGTCTTTAATTTTACAGATTGCAATGATGGATCTGTAGGGAGGGACAGGAAGCCCGACAAATTGGGAGACTGCGAAGGAGACTAGATCTGTGCACGATTACCTAAGGACTGTTGCTGCTATCGAGATTGAAGAGATTGCAATGAAAAGAAGATATAGCAAAAACGGACGACGATAAAGAACGAAGAAAAGATAGAGAACTTTAAGTGACCATCGATATGCATATCTTCAAATTCCCAGTACACTTCGTATATTTTACGCATCACTGGAAAAAATCGCGCTGTAAATATGATGGAAAAACGATGTAAAAAGCGTGTAAATTTGATGTAAGTAATATTTCCATCATTTTGGACACTTACAGAATATTTCCATCAAATTTACAACCTTTGTAAATATAATGGAAATCAAATTTACATACTTTTTCCATTAAATTTACAACCTTCGAGGAGCGCGATTTTTTCCAGTGCATGTGCAATTATTTGCTGTACAATTGAACGACTGAGAATGACTTGCACCGAACACTTACCTTTYTCCCAGTCTCAATCTCTTCGTGTGTTTGACATAGGGAGCCCAAAAGCGTTGCGTCCTCAGCAGGTTATACCACAGCGGAGATGAGATTTATTAGACGCTGGCGGTGAGACACCATTTCAATTCAATTAAGTTTTGTATGTTTTCGGCACGCAACCGTAGTCCCCGCAGAGAGGAGACATTTTCGAACGGAAGAAACCTTTTCTAAGTAACGCCTAATGATAAAAACACCAGGCTTTTAAAAACTCTTTATTAGAACTGTGAACTTTAGCGGTCGCAAGGGYATTAAAGAAGGTGRTATGAAATGAAAATGGTGTTTGCTTTAGATTTAACAACAGTTTTGAAAACCCCTCTCAAAATTCATATAAATTCATGTTGACATTTGCATCGTTTCCATWGAATGTCATATTTTGTTTTTATTGTTTATTGTTGTAGTAGAGAGATAACATTGCATCCCATTTTCAATTTAGTTTTGAATAATGTTCAGAATTGAATGTTTTGAATAATGGCAGAAACTACAGCGGAAATTATCGACTGCCGAGAATATATACTACGACTCGGRACGCTCAAATATATGTCATTTTTATGAGGTCTGGTCCTATCTAAATAAAGTCATTTGCAGTTACTCTCGAAAAGGTTTGTTAATTAAAAAGAAATTGCGTATTTCCTAAAGTCATCTGCATAAAACCACTCCATATTCCTCCAAAGGCCTCTTAATTTGTTTACTGACTGAGGAAGAATTAGTAGTAAATAWAAGTTAAAGAAGACAAATGAGACATTGTAACAGTAAATATGAATTGTGACTTTTTTGCAACGGCAATTATTATCCTTATATGAAAATTCAAACGTTATGTATGTAAATAATCTATTTTTTGACAATGTATTTTGCAACGAGATGATCTTTTGCATATAACGTTAARTTGATTAAAGTTTCCAAATGCTTTGAACAGCTTAGAAGTTTGTTTRTATTCATGATTAGAGGTTGACTGAGAAAGCAACTAAACTCGTATGCGTTCGTATCTAAGTCCAAACGTTTTTTGGCTTTTTACGAGAATTTGTTGTACCTGTCACATATAATTTAGATATTTCACAATGGCGCAGCTATAGTCCTTTAAATTAATTGTTAATTCATTATGCTTACAAAGCTTAAAAACCTTCTATTTAAAACGCTAAAGACATTCCCCGGGATTTGGGCCAAATTTTATACAGAAAAAACGGAATTCGATTGTATCCTCTTGTTTGCAATTTCCAATTGGGAWATAGTTTATTGTCAGCTTTAATCTTCAAATTTGATAAACATAATTCAGGGGATTTGTTATTCATCCGAGAACAACCCTTTTTGTAATATTTCCAATTGCAACTATGAATGAATTTAAGCCTTTGGCTTTTTTCAAAGGGAAAGTTGGTACCTATCGCTGTTTCTTAAACTACTCAACAATTTGTTATCATCATTTTTACGGTTATTATGCATAATGACCAAAACAGCACCTACACTATCATTAACTTGATCCACAAAAGATAGAATTTCCGACGTCATTAWWAGTGAATCAGCAATKTTCTGTTACCTCTATTTTTCCTAGTCATTTTTGACTCTATTTCCGTTTGTTTGRTAAACAAATCCTTCTACAATGAAGAATTTGCTACTTCCTTGCTGKGCTTTACTTTAGAGGGTGGCCATTCAAGCTGTGTATGTCGGAAAACTTTCATGTTCAAGTTGCCCTTAAGTGATCTGAATGTACACGGAACGTAATCATATGCAACCCAGACTTATATATTGAAAAGTTAAGCACAATTTTCCCGATAATGAATTATTAAGTACCTAACTTTGTAACCTGGAAGGTGTGTGATGATTTGTCACTAGACGCAAGAGAAACTGGAAGGCTCTTTTGATTAACGTAGGCGCCAAATACCAGATAAATTAGTGCAAATTATTCCATTTATGACGCGTAATGTTCAGCTCTGGAGATCTTTTATTCTGATGATAATTAAAGGATTTGGTTTCATCTTATTTTCTGGTATTGAAGTAAGTAATTCAAGAACGTTAGACTACGAAGWTCTATCGATGAAGTCACAAGTAAAGACAACTCGTCCGCGTCGTATTACACTACTTGTTYTATCTTGKACTTTCTTTTTGTTTTCATCGTCAAAAGCAAGGACACCTGTTTATGCTGGATTTTTACTTAACGAGACGTGGAAAATCACCAATTTGAGTCTAGTGTACAACSAAAGCGTCCAAACTGTCTCTTGGTCAATAAAAGGAAAAGGRTTCAATAGTGTCATGGGAGAAGGTTGTAAGGAGTTTGTCAAACATAAGATTGTATCGTTGGTGGGACCTAATAAAGGACTTTTAAGTGGAATAGGGTATCTCCAATCACAATATCTATCCGTCCCGTACATTGGTATTGGATTGGAGCCTTCGTTTTCGTATGTAAGTACATTATGAATTTTATACACAAAATGTGTTTATATTAAACMCGACCGATTGGTCTGTAAATTCATTTAGACTACAGTTCAAATTAGCGCGAAACCGAGATGCAACGAAGACGAACACAGATCTAAGATCTGTTATTTCTTTTAATTTGTTCATTCTGATTTTTCAAATACACAACAGTTCGTTTATTCTGAAATGACATTGACTTCTACTTGTTATTGTATTTCCACAAATACAATTGGGCTGGCACACCAGATTAAGCTGATTATTGACTTTTTCTCAGATATTTGCACATGGAAATTCTTCATTTCATTCCTTGAAGCAGTAGAATTCGCTTTGAGTAACAAACTTAACCTAGATATCGGCTAAATCTGCATAGTYTGAAGAAGGGGGAAATGAAATAGCTTTCTGTAGTCATAATAATTGAGTAGACTCTGTATGTTACAATGAATATATACTTGCATACATTAAAGAGTATAACATCATCTTACAACAACAACAACATAACATGACATAATATCACCAAAACTGGTGTCTCAAATCTCAAACGTCTGCAAAAACTTAGCTCGTAAATGATTTGTGAATGATACATTTAGCACGAATAGAGTACTGCATCGGTCATGTTTAATATGTATACCCGRCTCGAGAAGAAAAACATGAAATCATTTGGTTTYATTTCACTTTCYAGAATATCACCAAACTGCCATTTTTATAAGAATTTTTTTACTTGCAAACAAATTAACTTTCACCTTTTTTCATTCAAATATATCTCGAYTCAGAAAATTTTGATATGCAAAGCACGGCCTTATATCTAACAATTGCTCGCCAAAGCTAAAGTAATTATCGGYGAATGTCATCGAGARTWRWAMAAMRAARAAAAA